GACATGGTATAGATGGACTTGGCAGTGATAGGTTAACGGTTGGACTCGATGATCTTAAGGGTCTTTTCCAACCTTGATGATTCTATGATTCTATGAAATTGAACATGAATGTACTTTTCTTCAAGAAATTCCTCTAATGAGAAACAAACAAAACTTCTAATGTATTTTTTAGATCTTTTTTCTTAGACCATGAATCAGAGATGCATTTAAGGTACCTAACAAAGGGATTTCAGAAAAATATCTTCGAATTCTCTCCAAGGGTTGCATGTTGCACCACATTTGTAGGAAACGTTGATTTGATACTTAATAATTCATCCTCATTAACATCAAAAGGGAAAGCAAAAAGGATGAGAAGTGATGAAAGATTTTGAAAGAAAACTGTTATGAAAACCCAACCTTAGTTATTTTTTTACTATTTTTTATTATAGAAGCTATTGGGAGCAAAAGGAAAACTAATATTTTCTTGAGGAAAAGGGAACACTTTGGAGTTTCAAGAGAATATTCTGATTTGAAAATAATTTGATAGATATAGATGTAAAGTACTACTCAGCTTTCCTCTGCCCTTGTCTTCATCAGGATTTATGGACACTTAGCTGTTTTTATGATTTGTGACATTCAATATGTAGGATTGGATCCGAGACCTTAATACAAAAGTACTTTGCACAGAACATAAGAGCATGGAAGACAAGATTACTTGTAATATTTGGAGAGTGAAAGGGGATTAATAGTAACAACAAAAACACAGCCATGTCTGGATGATAAATATATATTTTTAAAGTCTGATATGAAATTTTCAGTGACAACAAGGCTGCAGAAGTTTCTTTCATGTTCTCTGGAGCAGGAAGTACTTCTGCCATGGCAGCTTCAAGAAGCTACTACTAGCTCACCAAAACCTCCTCACCATGGAGTTAATCTGTATGTTCATTTGGAAAATGTTATTCGTTGCATGACACAGGGGACTATCTTACCTCTGCAGCGTCCCACTGTGGATGTGGAATTATGAAATAATGTATTTTCCAATTCTCTCTATACTGTGGTCACATTAGATCAAAGTTTTGTGAAACTATCAAAGAACAAGAAAAAGTTGATTTTTTAAAGCCAGCTACTGATAATAAGGATAGTATATTCATGATCTAAACATTGCTTTTTAACAAGAAGAGAGGATTCTATAGCTTGAAAAGATGTTAATTTCTTCATTAGCTTTCAAACAGTCAAAGACTACAAGCAGCAAAGTATCGAAGAACATGTTAATGTCCTTTTACTGTTGACAGGACTTCAGGTACTTTTAAGTCTTCTGAAATATAAAAGAAAAAGCTAAGCACGTTCTGAATTGTTGAGTAGCAGCTCTTGGTAAAAGGGTGCCAAATCATCAATACAAGCAGGCCCTCAGATACTGAAAAGTGCACTTAAAAATGTTTTATAGATTTTTTAGAAATTCTGAAAGACTTTACACTATCTGCCTAGTAAAACTTTTCAATTTAGCGTGTCAACTGAATGCCCAAGCATAGCTCTTTTTGATTTTACGTCATAGGGAATTACACAAATGCATCAATGGAAATTAGTAGGAAAGGTGACTGTTCTTAGCCTTAGAAAATATGGTCAGGAATAATAAAAGATGCTTACTATCACAAACCTCATAAGAGAATCTCTCTCCTTCTTTCTTCTGCTCAGTGGATTGCAAGTCAAAGGCATTAGACAAAGACATGACACATTACAGACAAAGCACAAAGCACATATTCTACAAAATTTTCAGATACAGGCAAAACGTACCAATACATAAAAAAGCAAAGTATAGTCCAATACAAACATTAAAATAAAGCTGGCACTACAGATTACAACACAAAACACCCAGAGCTGGTTGAACTTTACAGATCATTAGCATGTTTCTGTGAAATAGTGTTAGGTCTTTCTAGTATTGTCAGGACATTAAATAGTTCTTGTAGACTTTTTTTTTTTTTAAATATTTTGGTTTTCTTTGCAAGCAGAAGTGAAGGCTGTGACTAGGTTGAACACATGATGCTAATGGTCTCTAAAGAACTTTGAATGATCCAGGAAACAAATATGACTCACCTCCTTTCCTCCCATGGACTCAAACATTTTCTCCAGCTGGACTCTTAATTGTTGAATGTTGTTCATCAAGATACAGGGCTACAAAGAGAGCACCAAATGTGAGAATATGCAGGTTATATTCCTTTTATGTATGAACATGTGTATTCACAGCCTCTGGGCTGAAGACCAGTTCTTCAGCAGCCCTACATTCATGCAATTGTGTTTTTTAGAGAGGGATCTCAGGTTCCAGACCACTGCTGCCTCCCCTTCATTCTTTAATTCACACTCCTCTTTGCCCAGTCAGCAAGCCCACTCAGCCAGTGACCGCTCATTACACCCTTAAGACAGTGTTGCACCACAGAAAACTGAATACCTTCTCCCAACCAGCTGGGCAGGTTTCAGATCCCAGTATTTCACATCCTGAACCTTATATCCCATGTAGTTGCTAGTCATACTTAACACAATTACATCTGGTGGATTAATGCAAGTAGTACATTATCGTCTCTTTGAGAGTAGACACAATAATGATCAAAGTACTTTGGGAGTGAAAATAGAATGGGGGAAAGGGAATACCGGGTTGCTTTCTAGACCCAGTGTTTGCAGAGAACTGTGAGAGCACTGTAACCCAGGTAATGGCTGATGCTTAGGTATTTAAATAAATCAACAGGCAGTTCTGTTAATAACATAATAATATTTCAGGAATGTACATTTTGCATTGCTTGAAAAGTTGGTGAGTGAATTAGGTGATACAATTTTGTAAACATATTATTTTAGTCTAAAAATTTTGCTGTTGAAGCTCATTTCTTTAAGGCAGAACACAAAGCCACAGTGTAAAAGACAGCAGTTGCTGAATAAATATAAGGTTAAAAGTAAAACACGGATAAAATTAAGCAGCTTATTACAAAATTATGGAAGAAAGGATGTATTATTAGAATTTTGTGTACTCAGATGACATTATATGCTAGTTCGGTATGGTGCAATAAGCAATGAAGCAATAAGACAATACTTGCTACCAGAGTTCTGGTTGGCCAAGGTCAGTGTGTTCTAGTGTGTTCTAGTGCATGATTGGATTAATTTAGACACTGAAGTAACGCATTTCAATATAACACATATTCTTTTTTCAGACAACAAGAAGGTGATGGAATGATTACAGTGATTGATACTCATTTGTACCTTTCTAGTTAACAGCATGTTCCAACGTAGTGCTGAAACATGGTGGGATTAGATTTTGGTGTTCAAAAGATCAATAAGGTAATTTAGCTTTAATTAGTTCTACATTACTCTCGAAGGAATTTGGTGTCAGAGTCCTTCTCAACTGAAGGAGAAAAAAGAAATTTAATCTAAGTTCTTAATACTTACATTACTGCTTCCCAGCAAAGCATGCTATTACCCCCTACAAAAGACAGCTGGCTTTTTATAATGGTTGAAGTATCACCTCTCTTCCTGGCTCTTGAAAAATCCACAAACCCCACTTCTTCTATTTGTTTATCTACCTTCTATTAATTTACGACCACTGAGACTGTGTCCTCCTCTCCTGTGCTATCTCCTCTCTTCTGACATGTTAATTATTCTGGAAATTATCTGCAATATCACAAATCAATGATTATGATTTCTGATGGGGGAATAAGTAGCTGAATATAACGTCTTGGTTCTTTTGTTCAAAACAAGTGCAACTGCCCTTGGCAATATACTGAAGCTATGAGATAAATACTTCATATTGAGGCAGTTTTCAAAGTTTCCTTTGAGGCTAGCAGAGCCTAAGCCTACCTTGGCTCAATGGAAAAAATTCTATTGCTGTCAGTAAATAACAGAACCAGAGCTTAAAAACATTCTCATCTTATTGTTTCATTATCACCTTTCCTTCAGAATACTCTTTGCAGCAATTTGCAGGAATCAGACAGCCAGATGCAACAACAGATAAAAGTGAGTGGCAAGTACAATACATAAACCCATGTTTGTAAACTCTGACAGGAGGTGAAAGATAAGAGGATGTTTTTACATTAGATACATGTCTCTATGAAAAGCACAGTTTATGTGCACATTTTGTGGTGTTTAATAAAAACAGTAGAAGTATTGACTTGAAAAAGAATTCCAAAATCTAACTCTAATCATAAAAAGTATTTGTTTTAATCTCTTCTATCAACCCTAATGCAGGAGATGACCTTTTTATGTAATTGAGATCATCAGATCAAATGGTCTTTTATTAAGCTAAAAGTATATATTTCAAAAAGGTAGCTAGTTAAAAATAAGTTATGTCTCCCAAAGGCATTTGATATAATACTTTATATCATAATGAAATTAATTCCATTGAAAGCTTAGTAAAGATTGGCATACCAGGGTGACTTCAGAAATCAATCACTCCACCAATTAAAAAAATCCCATTGGACAGGCCAAAAGACTACACAAACAGTTTGACTTGATGACTTAACACTATGTATTAAAACTCATTTCTTCTAGAAAGCAGTAAGCTTTATTTAATATTAACATCAAATTGAAAGAAATGGAAAAGCATAGCTACAGAATTTTTTTTTTTAACATAAAATTTTGGGTCAAATATTGGGTCAAATACAGAGACAGATTATTTTAGATGAAGCTTGGTTTGGACTGATTAACGTTAAAGCAGAAGATGTGTAATGCATTCCCTCCTCCATACTGGGGAGAGAGTGTGTTGTGTTCTTTTCAGCTCTGTATTTGCCCTGGAGAGTGGCGAGGTAAAGAATATGTAGATGTGCCTATAAAGTTAAAATGCATAAAGATTTACATCCTGATAGATTATGGGGGAAAAACCTGGCAATATGGTGCACTCATCTATCATACATCAACTGGTAGCCAGTGACAGGACACGTGGGAATGGTTCAAAGCTGCATCAGGGGAGGTTCAGGCTTGACATTAGGAAACATTTCTTTACTGAGAGGGTGGTCAAACAGCTGAGCAGGCTTGCTAGAGAGGCGGTCAATGCCCCAAGCCTGTCAGTGTTTAACAGGCATTTGGACAATGTCCTTCGTTACGTGCTTTAACTTTCGGTCAGCCCTGAAGTGGTCAGGCAGTAGGACTAGATGATTGTTGTAGGTGCCGTCCAACTGAAAAAGTCTAGTCTAGTCTAGGCAAGTCTAGTCTAGTCTAGTCTATTCTATTCTATAACTGGCATGTTTCCTAGTGTTTCTATAGCTATAATGCTGATTCTCCTTACACAATGATTGCCAAACTTGGCCTGATGCTTTTAGTCTTTTCAGATGCTGAAAAGGTTTAGTACTGCCAGAAGAAAGATGTGTGGATATCTACTAAAGTGAGCCTTTTCAATGTGTTTACTGCAAAGGGCTTCAAGGTTGAAAATATCTGAAGTGGGAAGTTAAATCTGAGACATGACACATCTACATAAATAAAAGTCACTCCTTTGTAAAAACTTGTATATAAAACTTCTACTTAATAATAAAGTTTTGAGTTTGGTATTTTTATTTATTAATTCTATTTTAGAGAAAATTGTGTAAAAGCAACAGAATGGTATTAGTCTCTCCTAGCAAATATATCTGTGGCCTGAAAAATTAATGTTTAGTCTTTTGTAATGTTGCTCATAAGAAGAACCATCAATAATTGATATTTAGCTGCAATAGATGTCTTTCTGAATTCTATTATTGTGTATATTTTGGTGTCCTCTAGATTATGACACTGTCTCACACTACAGAAAGCACTGGCAAGAATGAGCGCGTCCCCAAGCCATGCACAGGGATGTGACAAAGATAGCTGAGATCTGTGTATGAGCTATATAAGGGCTGTACTTTTAAAGGTTAGTATGAGGATGGTGCTGCAGTTATGTATCTAATTGTAGATTGATACATCTGTACAACATACTACTAAATGTAGCAGACATAGTGCTAAATGCCTGCCTCGGGAGTACTAGCTTTGATTGAATATCAATGATACTTAAAAGTCAGTTTACAAGAACAATTTTCCTTGGTCATGTTAAGCTATTGATAATGTCTTGATTTGCTTAACCACATCTTTTGTGCCCATATTTCATTTGTTTCCGAGTCCGTGGCAATCTGGTCCTTCATTAGGGAGTGCCTTGTAAGCAGTGAGGCAACAAAATAGCACATGATTTACTTCTCACTGCTGCATGGAAAAGGCACAGAGTGTGAGCGGTAGTAGCAGAAAAGCCTGCACATGCTCCTTGCACAGGGAATGATGATCTTATAAACTCTCTCATGAATAAACTGACAAAGAGAAGCAAGCCAATGCAAAATGAAAACTCAAAAATATTTTCTCCTGTTTGGAAAAAAAGATGAAGATATATTCTCCATATTCACCATTGCATAAAGCTGGTATCCAGGGAGTGTTTCTGTCCATCTTTTAATTTTTTTTTCTACTTTAATACTGAAATTATTAACTAGGATTCTTAACTAATTCCACCTATTCCAGCTTTTACAGAGCAATGTAAGCAGCTATGAAAACACGCTGACCTTATTAAAAAGTAAAGCAAAACAAAAATCCCTTCCTCTGTTCATGCTTTTTCTCATACACAAAAGGGATTACATTTTCAAAAAGTACAGTAAGTCATTTAAAGGTAATTTCTGAGGGAGAAACAAAACACAGCTTTTTACTCACCACATTTTCTTTATCACAATATGAGCTGAAGTAATTTGAAATAATTACAGCATACTGAAGAAGCACTTTGTTGATAGTCTAGGAGAGGAGAAGAATCTTTTAAACGGTAAATTTCATCATGTAAAACCAAAAACAATAAAAAAAAGACAAAAAGGACGTTTACATAAATTATAGATTATACAGGTGCTTACGCATTTAGTATATAGTATTTTTTTAGATATAACATAAACAATCCTGTTAGCACATTTTCAAATCCCTGCACCACAGATAGTGGGTTGTTCTTAATAGAATGTAATCTTCAATAGCAGAGATACTTTAATTTTAGTCATACTGTTTTTGAGAAGCATTGAGAGCTCTACTCCTTGCAATGTGCTACATAATTAAGGGAACAGTAGCAAGCTCAAACAATCCTCTAGGGTGACAATGCACAGATTAAAAACATAATGAAAAAATAAGACCAAGGGAGCACTGTTCAAAGCCTGGCAATATGAGCTTACCTTACAATACTCATGTAAATAGGAACTTTGCTTGCAAATGGAAAACTGTTGCAACTGAAGAACAGGAATAAATGTAAATGCAAACTTTTTTTAAGCCATCAGGACTATAATGGAAATCTAAAGCTTGTGAGGAAATGTTACAATCCAAATAGAAAGCTGGCCTAACACAGTTGTTTATCAAACAGCAGATAAGAACTACCACCTCAGGGCTTCAGCCGGCAATACTTTATTGCCATACCTTGAATTTTTCCTTTCCTTGCACTGACTAATTAGAGAATTGCATTTCACTGAATTGCTTCATTAACAGAATTGTAATCAGCGCTTAGCAAGAATAATAATGGATTGTATAGCATATATAAATATGAAATTTCAGAGAGGCTAGAACTTCTCAAACCGGTAAACCATTTTGACAAAGTAGATGAAAAACAGTCTTAAGTCACAGACAGCATGTCTTTCTAAGGATCCCAGTCAGAGATAGAAGAGATTGATTCTAAACAACATTGGAATTAGCTTTTAAGTACATGGCAACACAATGTCACTCTCTGAAGCTTAGTTGAGATGCATTGATTTTAATTTACCTTTGCAAATCTTCTCATTAAATGAGATAGTGCTTCTGGATTAGGACACTCCAGTTTTCTAATAATCTCAAAGCTTTGATTGAGCTGTGTGAAGACATCAACTACAGAGCAGGAGAAGAGGGCATGATCTGATGTTTGCTGAAACTAGAGAGAAACATTCAAATGAGTTAGTACTTGTTCACAGACCAAAACTGTATTAACTGATTTTCTTACACTTGAAATTCTTCCTAGAGTCATAAAAAGTAATAAATAAAAACTAAATTTAAACAAAGCCTCACTGATAATACTGAGAATTGTGGCTTTTCACATTTCTATTACTTTCAGACCTCTTAAAAATAAAAACAAAATTCTCTTTCATGACATCAGTATCACATCAGAGTTTAGTGAAACCACAGACTGAAGTCTATGGGGAATTCAGGCAGATGAAATTAGAGCAGGAATTTGTCCATAGGGTTATCTTCCAAGAACCATTACTGACTGCATATCTTGTGAGGTCTAACAAGGATACTGTGGGATCAAATGTACTTCTGGTTTTGCAATATTAAATAACTGTCTTAATACTTTCTTTATTCTTTTCTTCATAAAACAAAGGCTCACCCCGTCTTTTTTGTCTCTTTCTAGTGCTCCATGAAGAAATTCCATTGAAACATCCTCATTTTCATCCAGCCACTGAATGACAAATGGTTCAAACCACCTGAAAATTAAAAAGAATTTTCTAAAGTAAGTACATTTCATAAAGATCCTGAAAGGAGAGATGCCACACCACCCAGCAGTTTGGCATCTTGTGTCTTCACATCTGTTCTAGCTGCTAAAAAGTCTACCATCCTAGAAAAATTTTTGTCACCAAAGACACTGTGGCTACCAAAGGGTCTTTCAGGCTTCAGTTTCACAATACTTTAACTGGTCTACCCCAGCAATGTAAAATTAGCAGTAGCCATCAAAGAAATGGGTCCATGTTTTGCAGGGGATCATATTCTGCACTTTTTTTTTTTTTTATTTTAAAGTGTGTCTTTAATCAATATTGGTTCTTTGTTAACATTTACTTTTTATTTGTATGTGAAATAACTTGGAGAAAACTTTGCTTTAACAAAACATCAGCTGTGTTTTATTTGCCTTTAGTTTATTTAAAAAAAATTTAAAGCAATGACAGGCCCCAAACCATGTCGGCAAATCAGCAGTCTTGCAGAATATTAAGGAATGAGATTAAGGATAGTTTATATAAAAGGACAGGATCGAATGTATCAATTGCAGGAGGAAAGGTGAAAATGAAAACAGCAGCTGAATATTAACCCAATGCAATAAGAAATAATTTCAGTAGTATATCCCACTAGCATTGTATCTTCACCCAAATTTGGGTATGAAACAAATGTAGGGGCCTATAACTAATACTGCTGCTGTTCTCACATTTCATACCTTCCTCAGGCATTTTCTAACCAAAATATTTTGTCGTCTATGAAGACCTGCAGTTACAACAGTTGGATAAAGAATTCTATAAAATAGCTAACAGCACTTTTAATACCTGGACTATTTCATATGACAGAATGAAGAATTAAAGATCAGGAAGTGTGAAAAGAGTTGTCAGTGCTACGCACCGTGAGATCTTGCACGCACTTAAGCGTAAATATTAGACCAAAATAAACCTTGCACCAAGCCCAAACTCATGGGAGACTTCCCTATACGCTACTTACAGAGAGTATTCAGGCACTGCATCCTTGAAAGCAGACAGTTCTCGCACATACTCATTATAAAACCATTTCACTTTGAAGTGCAAATTCATATAATCTGTGCTTTTGCATAACCGCTGCTTTTCATGTTCTGTAATAGAATGAGTTGAAATAAAGGCATTTAATAGGATTCTAATAGTAAATAACGTTCTTGTGCCTCAATGCACTAGTCACATAATAATACAGTACTTGCATTTTAAAGCACAACTGGTTTGATTTTTTTAGAGACAGTAGCCCCCACAGTTTCAGTCTTCAGGTTCTGAGTACCCTTAGGAAAAACAAAACAAAACAAAGACCAGACCACAAGTTAGGCTTTTCAACTCTCTTCACTGCAGTGAGCAAAGCCCACAAAGTTGCTGACTTCCTGTTCTTTAGATGCTTCTTTGGTTGTTACAAAACGTCCATCTTTCTTCCCGGATTATGATCCTTATTTAGCTTATCCACAATGCTCTGCAGCCTTTCCCATCCAGCCGCCTCAGGCCTGGACAGCTCCTTTCTATCACTCCATTAGCTAATGGGCACTTTATCCTTGCTCAAGTCTTTCATTTCTTTCTCCCACAGCAGGAGACCATGGATCCACAAATCTTGGGCAGAGTAATCCTTCCTTCACTTACTGCTCACAGCTTCCTAAAATCTCCACAGATCTCATCTGTTTGAGACGTCGTGTCACTTGACCATTCTTCCTTAGGCAAAAGACTAATCTCTTTTCCATAAAAAGTGACCTAATACAGATGCTTGGCAGGAATGACATTCTTGTGTAAATAGTATGTATTAAGAACTCGCCTCTTTCAAACCTCCTTTTTGCTCCTTACTTCTGCTTGCATCATAACATAGTATTACACAAATTTTTCATACATATTTGGATGTGAATCTGATTTGATATAACAGTGGGAGCATCCCATCCTCTGTCCTACACACACACGAATATACCACTCAGTTCTCTGTCAGTGCAAATGCGCTGTGAAATATACATTCTGTGTTTTTCAGATCTGATCAGGTACATTAACAGGAAATTTTTAGTTTTATTATTATGCCAAATCAGTATTCTAGCAATATCACCATGCCATATGAGAAATAAGTGTTTCAGAAGCACATTATTATGCAGTGAATTCCTAAGTGTTGTGGGAATCGGCTTATGAAGTGCCCCTGTGGGCTTTTATTGCCTTTTTAGCATTGTGGTAGCATTTTCACCTTCAGTGCCTTTTCATCGCACTCCAGAAAAATCAGTAAATCAGTTTCTGTCTAAATGTTGCATTTGTTCAATACCCAATTGCTACTTGAGAGTACTACAAATTCTCCCTAGCATAATATCATTGGTTACTAGCCTTAAACAGAACCACAGGGAGAAAGGTGTATGCATACTCTCATGGTTCTTACTTTCTACAGACCTGAGGAATCTTATTTATTTATTCTGGTAGGAGTTTTTCCACAATCTATTATTGTAGACAGCTAGATGACCAAACATTTGCTCAACAAAAGGTAGCTCTTACAAGTGATACCAGTCTTTGACTGAGAACAATTATCTTATTGCTATCAAGTTCACTGTACATCTGCTGCTGAAGTCATTATTAAGAAAAATCTGTCTTATATTGCATCACAATAGAGTGGAATTTCTGAAATGAATAGCATTTTTTCATTCAAGTGTTGCATGAATGGGTTATTACATTATACAATGCAACTTAAGAATGTTTTGTATAGTATCACAAACCAAGCAAATGCTTATTTCAATTTTAGAAATGAGCTGCTGCCAACGATGGGCAAACTTGTCCAGGAGGGTACCACTTATACAATAACATTCATTTATATTTTCTCTTTTAAGTTAAGATCTAAATTATAACACATTAGAAACAAGCACAAAAATAATTCATGAATAACTAAGTTTTTTTCTCCAGGCTATTATATCTTGGAAAGTATATTTCAAAAGTCTCCTAGGATATTACTTGTAGCTACATATAAGTGAAAAATGCATCCTCAATTCCTAATATTAACCTATGAGAACATCGGAAAATACTTCACGTGATCTACAAAGTCCAAAGAACAGAGAAAACAGGTGCCCATATGAGTCAGCTCATGATAATTTTAACTGGATTGTATTAGATGAGTTTATCCACAGTAACCATGGATTTCGGTTTGAAAGCATAAGAACATCACTGTAGGCATTCTAAATTTAGATTAAGACCCATGGGTTGCTTTCTCAATTTCTGAAAAACTCGCACAAGTTAATGCAAACGTGAGACAACACAGGATGTATGTATGCAGTTTGGAGATCTGGGTCTTTCTTTTCCCAGAAAGAAAGCTGGGACCATGTTTTCCTATACAGGTATATCCATTTTGGACTTTCTGGAAGACAGATGTAGTAGCTGCAGAGTATGACTCTTTCTAAAACAGTCCACTCTTGCTTTGCAAAATTATTAGCATGCTGAGTCAGCCTTGAAGTAAATCTGCCAATTGTATGCTGTGCAAATTCGCTCAGCAGAGATTATGATAGAAATACTAGACCTTTCTCATAATTGATTCTAGATAAACAGAATCTCCAGTATAGTAAACCTAATATTATTAATCATTTCTTTGTGCTGCTGCTTTTATGAAGTGTTCCTTGTAGTGCAGCATATTTTTATAAGCATCTATTAATCTACTGAGTTTCATAACAAGGACATTTGAAGTTCCCATTAGTGATAATGGCACATTATTCTATATTACTGTATCATAAATCAATGAAAAAAATACTGGTAAGATTTCTGTAAACTGTAAAATCTGTAAACTGTAATCTGTGTGTATGGGGCACTTTAGCTGCTTTTATCACAGTTCCAGTAAGAGCATCTTTTTTACAGCATTGATTACGCTGTGGGGGTTTTGAATATCTCCTTAGGGGTAATGCTATAATGCACATACGCTTGCCACAGGTTTGCAGTAATAGACATTGTAACTGCAACTACAACGAAAACTGTATAAAGAGTTGTTCCATCTCAGTTGTACAAATTACAATTACAGTAACACCTTTAAGAAGACTTCCAGTAAGCAAAAGCACCGAGAAAAAAAAAAAATTCTTCAGTTCAGGCGCTGTTTGTGTAACAAGAAAGAGAGATTTTTTTAAAAGACTATTACGTGGAACGCATTAATATATGCATCTGTGTTTGGTGTGTGATGAAATCAGCCACTGACCTGGTGACATTGTATCTAGCAAATAATCTAATTGCAGACAATTGTTCTTTTACAGAAAAATGTATAAAGAGACATTGTAGGAAGGACTATAATCCAAGGTACTTTCCTCATAGGCCTGTGACCAAACAGCAAGACTTTGGAATCATGTTTGATTTCTTGCTCATTTTCCCAGCAATTGCTAAAGAAAGCTGAGAAGATTTTCTTAAGGCAGCAAACAAAAAGAAACTGCAAGACAGCTATTATGTTTTGGTCTGATGTTCATAGTGTCATAGTATTTTGTCAATAAAGTCATAATGATGATTTATTAAGCAGAAACACCTACATGACGCTAAAGACATAAAGCCATTTAACAAACTGGAATAGAATCCCATTCATTACAGAATCCTTTTTCCTTTTTAACCTTGAGGTAATAACATCAGTCTGAGTATCCATGTAATTTTTGATACGAATTAGTTACTAAAAAAGGAAAAAAAGGTAATCTAAATACCTTCATAAAAGACAAACATTTAAATATTCAGGTAATCAATTTGATATTTTGTTCAATTCTAATTTTCCCTTATCGGGGTACAAAAGCTGAGAGCAATTTTTTTTTCTACAGCAGTTTCCTAGCCACTGTTTTTGTAACAACATACAGTTAAACTGCTTGAAGGATTCTAATGAGGTGATTTTAAAGAATATTTCAAATCCTTATGAACAAGAACTGCAAGAAGGAAACTTGTCTGTAAAAATTAACAATTTGACTAGATATACATAAATACATATAAATATCTAACAAAAAAACCTTGCTCAGCTTCCAGGCTTTAAAGATAATGTTTCAGAGATGAATAACTACTACAAAGAATATTTATGTGTAGCAAATTAATTACATCACAATCAGTTGGTTTGACTGTTACATACATGCTATTGCACTACAGTTTATTAAAATGGAAATGATTAAGACTAGGCATAAGCGAATTGTGTTTGTATTAACTGCAAAATTTCCTATCAAAACTCAGATGCTATTTTCAACCATTGTGACATAATTCCATATTATTGGCAGTAATTACTTACCAATCATTCTACAGACTACCAGCTGCATATTTTGTCTATTCCTTTCAGAGCTGCTGTTTCAGAAAACCTGCTATTTCCAAACTTTCAGTTGTATAATTGGGAAGTATAGGCATGGCACAAACTGAGCATGGCTGGTGGAAGAAGAGGTCCTAGGGAAGTCCTATGAGGAATGATACTGATTGAGTATGAATTGGTATTCCTCCCTCTGAATCACTGTGGAAACATTACACCAGTATGATACGCCTGTGTTTTGGGTACTTGATCCCAATGCAGTTTCTGCATCTTGCTATGCCATTGCCTCTTTTAATGTCGGTATTATGCTTATAGTGCTCTAGTCTTAATCCCTGTACCACCAAAATGAACTGGAAGACTCCAATTGAATGTAACATATTGGATCGGGCCACAAATGAAGAAAAATATAAACTCAAACAAAGTTCATAACTGATTTAGAAGGAAACATTACATTCTACTAGACATCTCATCCCAGGGTTCTTGTACTTTGCTAAAGGCAATGAAAGTCACTGGTTATTAACTGAAATACAGAGCAGGACACAACTAATTGATAATTATGTATAATTTACATTGATTTTGATAATGTGAAATACTACTGGTCTTTCTGAAAGGGCTCTTTGTGTCAAGATAAATATAATAAACTGAAAACTAAAAAACTTCTGTCATTATCTCCTTTTTTGGATTGCATTTACAACTGATTTACAACTAAAAAATCCTCTAGTTCCCATTTTAAAAATAAATTGTGTCTTTCATAAGAGACTTCTACATATTCAATCTTTTTTCTGCATTTGCTTGGAAATTTTCATCAAAATATCTTTGAACACTTCACAAACATAATGGATTACACCTTGAATATCTCTGTGAAGT